ACGGAGCGGAGCATGCAATTCGGGAGACCCTGCTGGGAACCTGCCACGGTAACGACCACGCTATGCTGTCTCCGCAGCGCTTCCCAAGGAGAGACAAATGCCTAACCACGTTCACCTCATCTGACCCTTACACTCACCTCCACTGTGTTTGCCTCGAACTTAATTCTGGACTGCTCTGAATCTGCATTTCCTTTCCCTTCCACTTTGTAGAGCGAGGGTCCTTATGTTTGTAGATCACAGGAAAGTTCTCTGAGATACTAGTCACCCTATTTCCCAAATCTCTCACAGCGGCCATGTGGCTTTATCCATCTTTTTTGATGGAGTACTTCCTCTAAGAATACTTACTTTTCTGTCTTCCAGTTTTACTGAGAGATGACTGACATAAAACATGTCAGTTTAAGGTGTCTACCACAATGGCTTGGTGGACGTATGTAGTGCAAAATGATCACCGTAAGTTAACACCCATCACATCACCTCATATAGTTGCAATTGTTTTTTTCTTGTGAGGAGAACGTTTAAGATCTACTTTCTTAGCAAGTTTCAAATATACAATACAGTGTTCTTAACTAGAGTCACCATGCTTTCCATCCATCCCCAGAACTTACTTACCTTATAACTGTAAGTCTGTACCTTTTAGCCTCCTTCAGCCATTTCCCTAATTTCCCAGCCCCACCTCCGGCAACCAATATGTTCTCCATTTCTGTGGCGTTCAGATTTTTAAGATTCTACACATAAGTGAGATCATACAGTATTTGTCTATCTCTTATTTCACTTAACAAAATGCCCTCGAAGCCCACCCATGTCACGTTGTCACAAATTGTAAGACTTTCCTTTTTCCTATGGCTGTGTAATATTCCAGTGTGTGTGTGTGTGTGTGTGTGTGTGTGCATGTGCCACATTTTCTTTATCCGTTCATCTGTCAACAGACACGTAGATTATTCCCATGTCCTGACTACCGTAAATAATGCTGCACTGAACATGGGGGTGCAGGTATCTCTTTCAGATAGTGATTTTGTTTCCGTCAGATAAATGCCCTGAAGTGGAGTTGTTGGACCGCATGGTACTTCTATTTTGAATTGCATGAGGAACCTCCATGCTGTTTTCCACAGTGGCTGCACCAATTTACATTCCCACCCACAGTGCACGAGGGTTCCTTTTTCTCCATATCCCTGCCAACACCTGGTATCTCTTGTCCTTTGGATGACAGCCATCGTAACAGGCATGAGGTGATATCTCATTGTCATTTTGATTTTCATTTCCCTGACAATTAGTGATACTGAACACCATTTTATGTAATTGTTGGCCATTTATTTGTATATCTTCTTTGGGAAAATGTTGATTCAGGTCCTCCGCCCATCTTTCAACTGGATTACGTTTTTGGTTTTTGCTATTGCGTTGCAGGAGTGCTCTTCTATTTTGGATATGAACCCCTTACCAGATACATGATTTACAGTATTTTTTCTCATTCTGTAGGTTGCCTTTTCATGTTGGTAATGGGTTTCTTTGCTGTGAAGTTTTTCAGTTTGATGTAGTTCCACTTCACTGACTTTTGCTTTTGTTTCATTGTCTTTGCTTTTGGTATCAAATCCAAAAAGTCATCGGGACGCCTGGGTGGCTCAGTCAGTTAAGTGTCTGACTTCAGCTCAGGTCGTGATCTCGCGGTCTGTGAGTTCGCGCCCCGCGTTGGGCTCTGTGCTGACAGCTCGGAGCCTGGAGCCTGCTTCAGATTCTGTGTCTCCCTCTCTCTCTGCCCCTCCTCTGCTCACTCTCTCTCTAAAATAAATAAACATTAAAAAAAATCCAAAAAATCACTGCTAAGCCCAGTGCTCAAGGAGATTACCCACTATTTTCTTCTAGGGGTTTTGTGGTTTCAGGTCTTATGTTCAAGTTTTTAATCCATTTTGAATTGATTTTTGTGTATGGTATAAGAAAGCGGTCCAGTTTCATTCTTTTGCATGTAACTGTCCAGTTTTCCCAATATCATTTCTTGAAGAGATGATCCTTTCCCCATTGTCTATTTTTGGTGCCTTTGTCATAAATTAATTGATCATATGTATGTTCAATAAACAGGCATATGCATATTGATTTCTGAGCTCTCTATTCTATTCCACTGATCTATGTTTCTGTTTTCATGCCAGCACCATACCATTTTGGTTACTATGGTTTTGTAACACAGTTTGAAATCAGGAAGTGTGACGCTTCCAGCTTTTTCTTTCTGAAGACTGTTTGGCTGTTCAGGGGTCTTTTGTGGTTCCACACAAATTGTAGCATTGTTTTCCTTATTTCTGTGAAAAATGCTGCTGGAATTTTGATAAGAACTGTATTGAATCTACAGACTGCCATGTGCTAAAGACATTTTAACCACATTAATTTCTCTAATCCATGAACACAGAATATTTTTCCATTTATTGGTGTCTTTTTAGTTTTTTCATTAATGTCCGATAGTTTTCAGTGAACAGATCTATCTCCTTGATTAAATTTATTCCTAGGCATTTTACTCTTTTCCATGCAGTTGTACATGGGATTGTTTACTTAATTTCCTTTCCGGTAGTTTGTAGTTAGTGTATATGAGAGTTTTTCAATGAGGTTTTTTTTTTTTTTCAATAATAAACTAAATTCTTGTACACATGAAAATATTTTTAACTTCCTCTCATAGTTGATATTATAGCTGGGTTAATATTTTAGGGTTCACAGTTCTTTTCCTTCTAACACTTTGAACTTTCTCTCGATCTGTGATATCCTTAAATTTGACTATAATGTGTCTAAGTGTGAGTTTTTAAAAATCTATTCTCTCTAGCACATAATGATGTATTTTGATGTGAGGTTTTTCAGCTTTAAGTGCTGGAAAATTTTAGGTGATTTATTTCTTCCAGTACTTCTAACTCTATATTTGTTTCTTTCCCCTTGAAAGTCCTACTACAGAGATACTGAAACTATTTCTACCATGTATCGTCTTAGACTAGCCATCTCATCTCCCGCCTCGCTAACTTGTTCTTCTGCTATATCCAGTCTGTTCCTTCCACTGAGGCTGTCTGCTGGGTACTTTACGTCAGCAGTTATATTTTCATGTGAGCACTTGCAAATTGTTTTTCTTCACAGCTGCCTTATCCCACTCCCTGTTACCAATATACTTTTTTTTGAAGTCTCTTTGGGATACGTATTGTGCCTATTTATTTTAAATTCATATTTTGGCCTCAAAATTTTGCTTTATCTAGCATAGGTTATGCAGATTGTATTTCTTTTATACCAGTTATACTTCTGTGTATCTCATTAGCTTTTCGGATCCACCAACCTGTCTCTCATTCTCTGGTCTGCCCAAGGTTTACATTCTGGGGAGGGAGGTCATTTAAGTTTTCCAATTTCTAGAATTTCTTTGTAGGAGCTTGAGCTAAGCAACTAAATCTTCATGTTCTACCATAACCAATACTTCAGTCATAGTTACAATGAATAGAATGAAACAACAGTAATTCAGCTGAATTTCTCACTAAACATGTCTCTTTCTCAGTGGCTTGTCAACTTCAGTCTTAAATTCTTCCATGAGCGGCCTCAACATCTTCTTTACAGTGAGTCCTCTAAGCACTATTCCTCACAGTAACAGACTTCAAGATGTTCAATTTGGGAAAACGGAAGCAAGGAGACCACAAAAAAGAGAGCAAGCATAGAAGCAATAATCTCCCTTCATGAGAAATTTCCATTTATTGTATTACCTACATGAACTAACTATGCAGATAAGCAACGAATGCCAATCTGTGTTTTCTAGAACGCTAAACCTTCTCGAGTTATGGTTCAATTATACATTTATTTTGTTAATTGTATATCTAACTTTAATAGTAGATATTATTTAAAAGCAAATACTTAGAGGGGCGCCTGGGTGGCTCAGTGGGTTGAGCAATCGACTTCGGCTCAGGTCATGATCTCGCGGTTCATGGGTTTGAACCCCGAGTCGGGCTCTGTGCTGACAGCTCAAAGCCTGGAGCCTGCTTCAGATTCTGTGTCTCCCTGTCTCTCTCCCCGTCCCCCACTTGCTCTCTCTCTGTCTCAAAACAAGTAAACATTTTTGGAGTTCCTGAGTAGCTCTGTCAGCTAAGCATCCCACTTCGGCTTAGGTCATGATCTCACGGTTCGTGAGTTCGAGCCCCATGTCAGGCTCTGCGCTGACAGCTCAGAGCCTGGATCCTGCTTCGGATTCTGTCTCTCTCTCTACCCCGCCCCCACTCACGCTCTGTCTCTCTCAAAAATAAATAAACGTTAAATGAGACTGCGTATTAAAAAAAAAAAGCGTAACCCCGAAGAACTGGCAAGACACAAATCCAGCATTCTTCTGAACTCTGCAAGTCTGTAGTCTTTCTCCTTAATCAAAAATGTGTTTGTGTGCAAGCTAATGCTGTGTGTACGGTATACTCAAGTCATCTGTTCCTCCACTACTATGGATTCCAGATTTTATATTTTAAAATGAGAATAATTAATAATAAAAAGTTGTTTGGGATTTTGGAAAAATTGGTTTCTCAATTATTTTATTTCCCCTTCAATTCGTTAAGTGCCCATAACTGATTTGAAAAAAATCTTTAACAGCATGAAGTAAAAGGAGAATATACTTCAAAAACAGAAATGTTTCAAAAACTCAGAAATGCTTAAAAAAGAAAAGGTGTAATACTCCCAACTTGTCAGCTTTTTCGCCAAATAAATAAAACCAACCAAACCGTGCACTTCAAGACAGCCCTCCCATTCTCAACTGTCATTTTTGATTTAGACTGAAATGAAAAAAAATTGAGAAAAGACGGAATAAAAAGAAAACAAGGTCTGCAACACTCGTCCTACCTTTCCAGGTGGTGATTATTTCCATTCATATACAATTTCTTTTCTTTTCTTTCCAAGCTTTTTATGTGTGTGATTGTGAGGGAACCAACAGCACAAATTACAACAAATACAAAAAGCAGAAGAAACCCATTATTAGTACTTTTTTTTTCAGAACCCATCATGCTTGTATCTAGATTGAGTACCTTAGCTGGAAAGCCAGTTGAAGCAGGACATCCCTTTTTCCTTAAGGTCGGTGTGTGAACAGGAAGAGGAGTACTGTCTACAGTCTGAATCCGGGGGCAAGAGAGGAAACAGAGATCATGAAACACTCCATCTATTTCAAACATCTCTAAAAATAAATCAAAGTAAATAAAGCCAAGCAAGACATCAATAAGGCAAATAATATCTCAATGAAGCTAAAATTCTCATAGTGTTGATAATTTAAATTTCAGCCTGCGACATCTACAAACGAAACAGTTGCTCAATTAGCAAAAAAATAATTGTCTCAAAATTTAAAAAGAAATGATTTAGAAAAGAGAATCCACAAAGAAAACAAAAACATCACAGCATGTAGTCTACATAAAAAATGAGGATATTAATTTTCGAGTTCATCTGAATATGCCCCCAATAATTCTTAAAAGTTCCTGAGTTTTTTAAAGCAGGATTTATAATCAAAATATTTAGAAGTCTTTTAACTTCTAACTTCTATATACAGAATGTATGTTACATATATGGAACACAATTCACTGGATTTGTGTTTAAGTGTGTGTGTGTATGTGTGTGTGCATGTGCATGTGTGCACGTGTGTGTAGAATGAGGAAGTGAGGATGAGAGAAAGAGAGAGAGAGAGAATGATTAATGGGATTTTGTGCAGAAATCAATTTCCAAAGAAGGAAGCTAGACTGTTTAATATTATTGGAATTCAGAACTTAACATGCAAATTTAAAAGTTAAAAGTCATATCTTTATTCTATAGGTATTAGTGTAAGATATTTCTTTTAATGAAAGGAACCAGTGATTTTACTGGAAAAGAGCCATCACTTAATTAGCGAAGTTTAAAAAAAAAGGCACAAAGAATTACTTTAGGATGTGAAGCAAGCAGGCAAGAGGAAAAAGCTAGCTTTGAACAAAGTTACAGAATATTTTAAAACATTAAGACAAAAATGGATGGTCTTTGTCTTTGTTACTATATTAAACCGAATATTTTATATGCTAAATAACCTTAGAATAGAATGGAGTTTCTCAGAATTTTCTGCTTAATTGTGAGGTTACCTTTAAATTTAATTTACCTTTAAATAGCTTGAAAAAGTTTTCAACCCTATTTATAAATTAATGCCGAAAAAGGTAAACATGAGAACTAAAAGAGAGCAACACTTCCTATGTGAAAGTTAATAAAAAACAACAGGAAACAAAATTGACATTAGAATTTACACAGAAAATCTAAGAGAAGTTTTGAATAAAAAGGAATGAAGTAAGGGTGTTGGAGACAAGATTAACAGAGTTCACAAAGACCAGCAATGCCAAATAAAAATACTATTTGGAAAAGATCCCATTCTTCAAGGTACCTATGCCTAGGAACAAATCTAACAAGCAATTTGAAGTCAACTAATAAAGAAAAAAAATGAAACTTTATCGGAGGATATAAAAGAATATCTAAATGATATGTATATATCATGTTCACAGACGGAAAGACCCAACCACAAAGATGTCAATTCTCCTCAGATGAATCTATAAATTCAACACAATTAATCAAAAGCCCCATATGGAATCTGACAAGCTGATCACAAAAGTCATATGTAAAACTAAAGGGTGAAAAAAAGAAAATGAAAAAGAATAAGGTGGGTGGGAGTGGTCGATCACACCAGGTGAATTACTTCAGGCTTACAGTAATCAAGACAATGTGACGCTGGTGCAGGAACAGACCAAAAAACAAAACAAACAAACAAAAAAACCCAAAAAACAAAAAACAAAACCAGAAGAAGAAAATAAAGAACCCCCAAACAGATCCATTTATATAAAGCAGAAAGAGTTTTACAAATCAATGAGGGAAATATAAGAGAATTAGTTGTTCATATGAGAAAAACAGATTTATTTATTTATTTAAAGTTTATTTTGAGAAAGACACAGATTGAGAGAGAGAGAGAGAGAGAGAGAGAGAGAGGGAGGGAGAGAGAGAGAGAGAGAGGGAGAGAGAGAGAGAGAAGGAACAAGAGGGGGAGGGGCAGAGAGGGAAGGAGAGAGAATCTCAAGCAGGCTCCGTGCTGTCAGTGCAGCACCAGATGCAGGGCTTGATCTCACAAACCGTGAGATCATGATCTGAGCCAAAATGAAGAGTAGGATACTTAACTGACTGAGCCACCCAGGAACCCCTGAGAAAAACGGATTTAGAACCCCATTTCGCATAATTTGTAACAACCAATTTCAGCTTAAGGTCTTAAACATGTAAAATAAAAAAAATTTAAACTTTCAGAAAAAATATGGAAGAAAACTTTTATAAATGCTGCACAGGGCAGAATTGCTTTAGAAATGCATGAAAAAAACGGGAGTCATAGAGGAGATGATTGATATATATATATAAGACTACTTTAAAATAAACACTGTTGCAAGACAAAAAGATACCAAATAAAATTTTAAAATAAGCTACAGATGGGAAGAAAGTATTTGCAGTGCATATAAGCCAGCTGAGGATTAGTATCCAGATTATATAAAGAACAGTGACAAAACAAAAGAAACAATTCAATGGAAAAACAGACAAAAGACATATACAGGCAAATCACCAGTGGTCAATAAACATACAAAAGGATGCTGAGTTAACACTAAGATCAGACAAATGCAAATTAAAAATCCCACTCCATACCCATCAAATTGGCAAAAGTTAATGTGTGACAGTACCAAGGGTTGGTGAAGATGTGGGAAAATGGGGAACTCTCACACATTGCTGGTGGGAGTGAAAATTGGTTCAACCGCTGTGGAAAATAATTTGGCAAAATCTAGTTAAAGCTGAGAATGCACATACCATACAATCCAATAATTCAACTCCCAGGTACATAGCTAATCACACTCTGCACACACAAAAGCAGACAGCTATTAGAATGTTCACTTCAGCACTGATTATGACAACAAAAATTGGAAACAGATATCCAATAATATGACATTATTAAATATCCCAAATTTCCAACAACAAGAGGATGCATACATGGTTGTGGTATATTCATACAACGCAATATGACGTAACGGTCGTAACGAGTGGACTAAATGGACACGTATCTGCAGGAGGAAAGTTCAAAAGCATCACGTTGAATGAAAGCGGTTACAGGAAGATACAGATAACCTGTGTGTAAAACATAAACGTAGAGCAAATGTTATCAGGTATGGTTGCTGTCTACAGATGAAGTAAAACGTAAAACTGAAGAAGAGAAAGTACGTCAATGGCAGGGTCTTTAGATGCGTCTGAGGAAGGAGGAAGGAGGAAGGGGAACGGTACAGGGAAGGGTGTTTCAACTTTCTCTGAAAACAAACTGGCAAAGAGCAGGGCAAAAATGTCCACATCTGCTACACCTGTGGATGGTGGCCACACGGGCGTTTGCTATTCTCTCTACGCTCCAAAGATTTCAACAGTCAAAACGTATAAACTCAACGATTGAGACAAAGCAGAGCGTCATCAACTTAAGCGGTCTGTGGTCGTCGCTCGCAGGGTTGGAAAAGACCCAGTTAGACTCGAACCACGGATCCCTTCATTTCAGACAGCTTTCCCAGGTGGGCCATCTGCTCCCGGCTCCAGAGACGACACGGGAAACAAAGGGGCGGCGGCAGCGCTGTTCGAGGAGCGGACGCGATCTGAGCCGCACCCACTGAGGCACGACGCCCTTCCGACTTGTTGAGACAATGACCTCTGCTGAGAAAAGTGGCCAGCCGGCTGTTTGAAAGCATTCACGTGGGGTGCAGAACAACACTGGTGTGGTGGTCGTGGTGGTTTTGTGCTACCGCAAGGCAGGGGACGGCCGAATGCCTACTGCTGATGGGCAGTTAAACTGTTCAGCGGCCGGCAATGGCAATTTTAATTTTAAGCTCTACTTTGTGGCAGTTACACATATCTTTTTAGATCAGAAGAGTTAAAATCTGAGAATCGCACCTGACATGGCTGTGTGCCTCCGAGGTTTGTATCTGATAATTCCAAGATTTAGAGAACCCCGCCCTCTGCTCCACACAGTCCTCTACTTCAGATACAGACTACCTTTCTAGTGAAATAAGTGTTTGTCTGTTTTAGGTTGAACTTGGGGGGGACAATTTTCTGCTTTTGTTTTACGGTCCTATTTACATTATAATAATAATGCAATGCTCTCCAGTAGACTGTGACTTATTACAGAATATATTTGAGTCAAACAAGAGTCGGCTTTCACTTGTTTTTCGATTCCCTCTTTCTGACAAGTGACAAGCTGGAGAGCGGGGCTACCCCGGGGAGGCACCTTAGCTGGCTCAGCTTCACAAGAAGTGGGAGGACATGTGGACCTCGACTGGATGCAAACCCGGACGCTCGGATTCCGCACACACGTGTTCTCAACGGGATCAGTCTAGGAGAAGCCAGGAACGACAAAAACCCAGCATACCACTTTCAAACAGCGTGCAGCTCTTAGCGAATTTCTGTAAGGCACAATCACGGTAACATTTGTTGTGAAGAGAGGAAAACGCACTTCAGCCTGAACGTTCACCTCCGGGAAGCGTCATTCCACAAAAGCAGGACCGCTCGCTTTACCGTAAACAGAGGGAAAGATGACCACAGGTACCGCCATGCTGCAGGCCTCACTGCCGACCTCTCACTCTGCGTGCCGGTCTCTACTCTATGTTCTTGCAGTCCACGTGAAACGCTCGTGTTTCACAAGAGAAATCTCCCACAAGTGCAGAGGACTTCACAGAGGTTATGTCCTGCAGGTTCGAGATAATTCTGCCCTTTGTAAGAACGACATCTGGGCCTCTACCAGGCATCACTTGCAGGCAAAAGAAACAGACTTATCAGCTTTGTGTCTGTCACTGCAGGCGATTCCGCCCTCTTATTCTGCGGCAGAAATGCCAGCACTCACACTCAGCCGCACCCTTTTAACCGAATGTTTTTAGAGACTCAAAAGACGTTGGGTTAAAACTGAGCATTAAAGACTGAGCATACTGATCAATGACTGGTTCCGTCTGGCAATTTTCAAAATGACCAGGATCGTGTGTTTAAAGTGAAAAGGCGAGGAAAGCAGTTTGGAAAAGAGGTTAGGGGAATTTGTTTCGAATGTGCTGTACAGCAA